AAAAAAAAAAAAAAAAAAGCACATGGTGAGTTTAGGTTGGTGGAGGGACTGCAGCCAGGTACTTCTCAGTGATAGCAGTAGTTAGTTGAGCTGGGCCACTTTGTTTAAAGAACTTAATTGTGGGAAATAAGAGTTACCCTCATTGGGTAAATAACATAAAATGCTATGAGATCAAAACCTTAGCTAAGAGGCACTACAGGTTGGAAAAATTAGGAGAGATTTTTCAGGAAGAATAACATGACCTAATGTCATTTTAGCACTTCTACTAGGTTGTGAATCCCCTCAGGCCAAGCAGTTACATATGTATAAGTGGCACAATAAACTCTTGCTGAAGAAAGGAATTTTTTAATAAATAAATGAATAAAGTGGAGAAGAGGAAGAAGTGAAAATTAATGTGGGAGGTAACATAGGAAGGATATGTTAAATAAAAAATATTTATGTCACTTGTGAATGACTGTAAGGAAGAGTTTATTCAGGAGGGATCACTGCAATGGAGATTTTGCAGCAGGGGAGAGAGATTGGTCTTAACTCTGAATACAACAAGCACAAGTGAAGACGTATAGCCAAAGAGCTGTGGAGTAGGGGTGGCAGTTAGTGCCTGGAAAATTACTGAGACAAAAAGTCAAGGGTAAGGGGAATTCTGGCTAAAGGGACTTGGCAGGATTCTTGTTGAAGGCAGTCCAGGCTGATAAATTATCAAGAGTATGGGATAAGGAATTTGATCAGATACCAAGGGAGAGAGATTTTTGAAAACTGACTCAGGAGGATTCTTGCTAAAACTGGGCTAAAGAGGCCAAATAAAAAGCCTAAGGTCGAGGCCTAATTGAGAATAGGATCCAGAGAAGCCTGACTCAAATTTAATCAAGGACCGAGTCTTATCAAATAATGCAAGTGAAGTCCCGTAGGTAAGAATGACGTTAGCTTGCATGGAGCCACATCGAGGACTGTGACTTAAGTAGGAGAAATGTAAGCTTCGTAGTAGTTCCTCGGTCTTTTTTTTCATTAAGCATAAATAAGCTTCTTTGCTGTTTTACTTATGAATCAACCAAAATACTTTGATTCCTTATCCAGTTTTTGTGATGTAGTGATTACTTTTGACAGCTGCATGTTTACAGCTTGAGGAAGAGACTCACATTTTTTTTTCAGGTTCATCTGCGTCTTTTATCAACAAAAAAAGATACTCCCACAGGAAATAAGCTTTTTGACAGTGGAATTTTTAAGCTGAATTAACTAAATTAATTTCTCAATGAGGACATATACCTGCTAGAGTGAAAGGTTTGAAAAAGATGCTGTATAATTCTGTGAGTCATAGTGGGGATTCTGTTTGCTAACACTGGACCCTAAAGAAGGTCCATTTTTAAAGTTATTTTAAAATAGATTTTTTAGAGGATAATTTAAAAATTATCTCTAAATGAATATTATGGCAGACCATAATCATCATTTTTAACCACTCTGTTTATCTACAAGAAGGGGAAAACCTCCACCCTTTAACCAAATTCTGGCTATAAGCTTGAAATAGATTTTAGGTTACATGTTTGCTCTACAATTAAGAATGAAAAGTGAGATCTCTGGGAGTGCCAGCATTCTTTGCCTGCAAACACTGTGGCAGCCCCACAGCTACAGAGGTAAAGCAACGCTCTGCTGTGCTAGAAACTTCATTGAGAGTTGTAAAGATAATAATGATAATGAAAGCTAACATTTCTTGAGTTTTCATCATATGCAGGATGTTTTGCAGAGATAGAGTGATGTTGGATGTAGACACGCGCGCGCACACACGCGCACACACACACACACACACACACACAGTCTCTTACCTCAGTAGCCATATAGTTCGGCACTATTTTTGTAGCCATAGTAATAATAACTCAGAAAATTACATCTTAATGATTTTAAGAAGATCACCCAGCTAGCTTTGACCACATTAAAAATCCAGTTCTGAACGTTACTTAGGTACTCTCTAAACTCAAATGCAATGGTAGAATTCCTACATCATGTGTTGTCTGCTTTAAAACTCCCAAAGGTAATGTTTTTTACAATGTTTAGAGGTAATTCTGAACATAACAGTTTGTTATTTTTCTACTGAGCCACAATTTCCTTTTTTTGACCTCTACCCATTGGTTTTTATTTTGGCTTCCGGGAGCCGGGGCCATGGCCTATGACTCTGTATGAATATTGCCTACTAAGGTTGCACGATGAGCAACCTGCAGAAGTTTTTACAGTGCTTCTAACTAGAGCAACAAAATTTACCTACTCTCTAATCCACATTACAGCCTTTGCCTATGTGAAGACACCTAATAAGTATAGATTTTCAGCATTTGGCAGGTGGTCTAGTCTAAGGCATACATTTTATAGAGGGGGATTCTGCAGCTCAGAGGAGTGACTTATCCTGGGACATAAATCATTTGGGATCCTCTTTAAATAAAATCCAAATGTCCTGACTCAAATAATTAAGATGCGTAGGTAATGCTAACAGACAGTAACAGCAAAGCCTCGACTAAGCCTGATTAAATCTTTTCTCAGTATGACAGGAACACTGAGGCTGGACCAACAGGCCGTGAGGAGTATGTTTTATTTCATCATTAGTCCTTAAGGACATGGGAGAAGGACATTATAATTAGCTCTGGAAAGATGTGGGTTCTAACTTCTGTATATAACATAATTGACCTTGGACAATAAACTCACTTAATAACTATTTTCTCATTTGTAAAGTGGTAACAGTAATACCTACTTCACTGAGATGTTCTGAGGTGAGATAACCTAACTCCTTAGCTATGACAGGCACCTAATTGGTACTCAATAAATTTTGCCACCGTTTTCTCCTTTTTCCTTACCTTCCCCTTCTCTAAGTAGTTTTTCCTCTCCTCTTGCCTCTGTTCCTTTCTTTTCTTCTCTATTCCCTTTCCTATTACACCTTCTACCTTTCCTTCCACAGTCTCCTTTCACTCTCTGCGTTCTTCCCTAAGCTTCCTGTCCCTACCTTTTTACATAATTTTTTTTTCTCTTGGTCATAACATGTAATTAAAGACCATTTAAAAAAATAGGTATGGCGCTAAAAACGGTTCTATAGTTCTAGTCTCAAGTTTATAATGTAAGCAACTGAATCTGCTATGTTTCCTTTGCTTAAAAGAAACTCTATAAATAAACATAGTTTCCTTTTATGTAAACAAATCCTTTGTTGTTTACTTTAGGTTAGAGACTCTTAAATTTCTTTTAGATGTATCCTTTGCATTATAAATTGCTATGGTCTGAATATTTGTATCTTCCCAAAATTCATATGTTCAAAGCTAATCCCTAACTTAATGATATTAGGAGGAGGGACCTTGATAAATGATTAGGTCACGAGTACTCCTCGTGCATGTGTTTGTAAGAGAGGCCCTGGCTTTTATTAGTGCCCTCATGAAAGCTGCCTGCCCCTTCCTTTATGTGAGGATACAGCTGGAAGGCGTTATCTATGAATCAGGAAGAGGACCCTCACCAGATATCAAATCTGCCACTGTGTTGGTTGTACGCTACACAGCCTCCAGAACCATAAGAAATACATTTCTGTTGTTTATAAGCCATTTAGTTTATGATATTTTGTTATGTAGCAGCCCAACAGACTAGATATGTTATATTTTTGACAGTTAAATAATAGCAAAATTTACAGAGAAGCTAAAATCCGGAGAAATAAGGTGATGGATTTGCTCTAAGGAGAGTAGTAATATGAACTCGAAATTAGTGGATATGTAATAATCAGATCAATAATAATAATAACAAAGACCAACATACTGCTTACACTGTGACAAGTTATTTTCTGGCACAGTAGCTCATTTAAAGTGTTAAATGACTCAGTAAAACCCATACTATTATTTATTACCCCATTTTTCAGATAAGAAAATTGAGGAACTAAGAGGTTAAACAACTTCCCCAAGTTTGTACTGCTAGTAAATATTGGAGCCGGAATTAGAATGTCAGCAGTTTGGCTCCAATGTCCATATTTTTATCTTTCAATCTATGATGCAGAAAAGCAACAACAACAACACTTAAAAGACACACTGTGGTAAGCATCATTGTAAATGCCACTACTCCTGGCCAAGCATGGTAGCTCATTCCCGTAATCCCAGCACTTTGGGAGGCCGAGGTGGGTGGCCTCGGTCAAGA